TCTGGTTAATCCACCTGTACTCTTCAGAGAACGCATTAGAGTCTGCTCATATGCGTTTGCCATGACCCTGTACGATCAGCTTCGATAAGCTTGCGAGCAACCCCGAGCATTTTCTGGTAGTTAAGCCACAGTTTGCTTGTTTTTGACCTATTAGATAATTCACACATTTTAGAATTTAGAGCATCGACGATCTTGTTAAGGCAGTTTGATTTCAATAATGTGTCTAAATCAATTTCGTTGGCTTCCGTTTGGGTGTACTGTCTCTCAAGTTCTTGTACCAAGTTTTCAAAACATTGGTCATCTTCAATTATTTTTGAAGTAATCTGATGCGTTAGGCATTGGCTGACCAAAAAGATGTCCACGAAACGAGCGTTGTACAGCCTTTCCACTCATCATGTGTACAACTGCATTTTCACCGTCTTTTAGGCCACTTCCATTCATAGTGTTCCTATAGCCCCCAACAAATTCATAAATGTGTGGAAGCTTCCAAGTAACAACACAACATCTTGTATTGGACTATTGGTAGGAACCTCTGGTATGATCTCGGACGCTTTCCAGAAGAGCGGTTGGTCAAAGGTGACCACGGGCGGGGCATTATTCTTGGATGCAAGCGTGCAAATATATTCAAGTGTAGAAAATATACACGTTTTGTCACCAGGGTACATATTAATCATTGGAAGAAAGACTACTGATGATTGTCCAGGATGATCAAACTCCTTGTGTAGTACATGTATCATTCCCTGCCAATGAGGTACTGGTTGCTTAAAGCTAAAGGACACTTCCCACAGTATATCAGTGTTGTGACCAACATCATTAAAGCTGGTGGCAGTGGTTGGAATACTATGCTACGTCGTGTGTGATTTCCAAAACGGTACTCAAAGATGTCCACTTTTGATTAGTCAATAACATTTAGTTCAGAAAGTTTCCGTCTGAAAATTTTCTGATATATTTTTTTGTCAGGGCTGCAATCATTCCCATGCCATGGAATGTACCCTTTCCATCTAATTACAGGTACGCTTTCACCATTAAAGGAATGACCTGTACAAAACACGAGCTCCTGTAGACCAAACCCAGTACTGTTACGATTTTAATCGTACGGGAAATATCCTCAAGAATGAGTCCTAAGTTTAGGCCTAGCCCAGGCCTAGCTTAAACCTGCTTTTGGGTCTGCTCTACAGCCTAAATAGAAAAGTATATTATTCTGTATTAACAAAACAATAAGCCTTCTGTATTCAGTATTCAAAGATTTTTGTAAAATAAATCAACATTTTATAAGTTAAAATTGATTTTAAAACCTTACCGTGGAGGTTGCCATTTCTGTTGTGCTGCTATGATGATCAAGGCAAAGCTAGATACTGATTGGCTAAGAGTTTGATCTGTTTTACTCTTGAGTGGGCATGCATTAATTTCCCTTGTTTATTAAAAGCAGATTTGACCGTGATCCTTTCTCTTTTTTTTAAATTAAAAGGATTTTATATTATATTAACTTAATTTATGCATATCACCTAAAAAAATAAACTTGCATTTAATAAAAATAACACTACGTCATTTTGGACATAATGACGTCATTTTGTATGTTATGATGTCACTTAAAACGCTTCAGACACCTTCAAGACATATGCACTTAGCAAAATATGCAATATTTTTAGTAATATTTACATTCAAAATGGTAGATTATTGTTGAATTGCACATTTATGAGTAGATTTTACTCATTTTTACACATTTGGCGGCCATCTTTGTTTTACCTCATATTTTGAACCTTTCCGGTGGTCCGATTTTTGCCAACTTTTGATATGTTATTCCCCACATGTCATTGTACAAAAAACCATCATAAAAGGTTTTCTTGCAATTTTTTTGGGGTAAGTGCATTTTTCTTCATATTTTGACTCTACTAATAATACAGTATAGTATAATGATTTGATGAGAATAGAGCATAACCATTAAATTAATTAATAATACTGTTAGTAAATCATTCGTTTATACAACATTTATAAACAACTAAGTATATATGAAATGAGATGCATTAACGTCTCCGCAACGTACACCCATCGAAGGCTATATTATGTTACTGTATCTGTACATGTCAACTTCGCCACAGCTATTCGCTGAACAACAATTCTGGACAGGCGGTAACCCACCCCGCGGCTCCACAAAAGAACCGAGTTATTCGGGCGCGCCGGTACCACAAAAAAAACTGTCACGTTTAAGCAAAGATAAGACCATTGTTGTACGCGCACATTTATGTTGCCTAGGGGAGAATTCTACTCCACTGTAGGCGTTCACCTCTGCCTTACTTTACCGGTACATCCTAATACTCGTTGGAATTCCTTTGCTTACAATCAAATTTTACATGTGTGAGAAAAACTTAATTTCCCACGAGCGTGAGAAAAAGAGACAGGTCCATCGCCTCCGAATTAGAGTTTGATAAAACTTAATATATACTCAACTAACATGAAAGTAGTACAGCATATATGTTTTATAATCAGTCGTAAAATCGCCGATATTTTACTGTTAAGCTATATGTTGTGTCCTTGAAAGTTGGAAAATTTGACCTTGAATGTCCTGGAATTGTCCTGGAAATTTGCTTGTTTAAAAACGTACGTACGAACCCTGGCATACTTATTCTTTTAAATATCATCGGAGGAGGGAGGACAAAAAAATAAAAATTAAGTTTTCTTTTCTTATTTAGCAAATAGTTTTGCCAAAAACATCCAGTGGTGAAGAAAATAAAAATAAAATTTTTGTGGTGAATGTAAAATGGGATGGTTAAATGCTTCAAATTTATATAATTAGGAAGAAATATACATATCTTAACTTTGGAGATTTCAAGGCAGCGGAAGGTGTAATAAATACAGTTTAAAGTAGAACTTTTTTTTGTGAAATGTTTTTTGTGGCTACGGATGCGCTAATTGGCCAAAAATTAAATTTTAATTATATTCGAAATCATCAATATTTGTGTTCGGCAGGTTTGCTAAACAAGGTATAAAAAAATTCTCGCCTAATGCTGACTGTCAGTGAAACTGCTTGGATGTAAACATTCATTGTTTTTTCAAAAAGAATGTTTACAGTATTTCAAATGACAATTTGTAAATAATAAAAATGTTTATTTAAGATGAGAATGAGTGTAAAATGAAGTAAGTATTGAATTTGGAAGACAAAACAAAACTAAATGACAACAAGTGCACCTCATAATTTATTATTACAGAAGCAGGAAGCCCATCAACCATAAGAACCAAATACATAAAGAACTGAAATCAAATGCTAAAAAAAATATTTACCCTTAAGTCCGATTTAGTGAAATTACTATACTGATAATAATCATAATAATATTAATACAGTAATAATAATAGAAATAATAGTAATAATAATAACAGTGTAGCAGCTATAATGCAACATCTGTCTAGCATGCTGTTTCATAGCACAGTGACTCTTGATGGGAAAGCAGGTTTTATTATTTATGCTTATTTGCAAAAATAAATAGTTTAATTTTAAGGGAATAATACTTAATAGCCTCTCCTAAACAGTGGCATGTCTAGGGGTGCACAGGGGAAGCAGGCCCTCCCCAATAAAAGATAACAAAGTGGAAGCTGTTTTGAGTCAACTATTTCACACAATCTTTGGAAAATAAACATTGACCTCATTTACAGAAAAATATGAACCTATATAGGAAGATCTTCACATATCTTGGAAGAAACATGACTATAATCTTCACATGTTACTGTTCAAATGTGTACTGTGATATATTGAAAATGAAGATCTTGATTTAAATATATGCATGATATTACTCCAAACAAACTAATATCTATTGACAAAGGATGATTGAGATATATAATCAGCTGTATGCATTTGTAAGGAGCTTCAGTCTGGTTCAACATTGGCCAGCACACTTCTGCCTTAATGATTATTTGCTCTTTCTATTGCCAAGTTCAGATCGGTCTTGAACTCCTCGTAAGTGTGGCATCCATGATTGAGCATCAGGTGAACAGAAGTTGAATCTTCATCACTTCTGTGTGCATATGCTTGAGCATTATGGGAGCCTAATAAGATCATCTTCACACCAAGCAATGTGGGTTGTCCACCAAGTAAAACGTTGAACTTTTGAAGCTTGTGCTCTGTACTTATCTCCTCAATGTAGAATTTTATCAAGAATTGTTTCGTCCTATCATTGGAGAATCTCCACATTTTAATCCCGTGTATCTTCCTTTCAAGCAGTGTGACAGTTTGCACCTCTGGTGTGTTTATAAGAATCGGTGGAGAACAAACATTTCTCCTGAAAAAGGGAAAGATATAAATTGTGTTTAGGCTAAATTTATTGAATAAAGTAACAAATTATTGACATGTAAGCTTACATATTAATATTTATGTAAAATGAAACACTGGTAGCACTTTATTGACTAACTGTATTTATTCACACAAGCTTTCGCCAGCAGTCTATGCTGGCTTCATGAGGTGCAGTGAAGTGGTACAGTGAAAAGCGAAATACAGTATATATAGAAAGCTATTCTATTTTCTATAAACAAAGAAGGGTCACACCTTTAACAATAGAGATCAGAATCAGAACATAATTAAAACAATAAGTGGATAACCCACGGAATGAATGGCCAAATCAAAGTACTCCGAATAAGTATAAACAATTGCAACATGAATGGTGAAGCAAAAGGCCTATAATGCAATCACGACCAATGAATGGTACTACAGAACAGAGTAATTAAAGTAGATCAGGTAAATTCAAAATAAATGAATGCATTAAAGTCACAACGATAAGTATAACAAGACTATGAAATCCAAGAAAATGGGCTATGAAAGCCAAGAAAATGTGAATATAAATAAATGGGGAAGTATACATAATATAATATGAGTTTAAGATGTGAAAAGTAACCATAATTCTTAAGACCAGATTTTATACAGTCAAATTTCTTAATGAATCATTGTTTTACTGCCAATCGGTCAAATTTGTTTTTAAACTTACGTTGAAATATACTGTACAGTTCATTATTATTTCGCGGCCCTATATTTTTGCGATTTTACAATTTGAAATATTTTGCGTCCTTTTATTTTTCGTGATTTTACGATTTCCCATCATTTTTTATACCATTATGTTTTTTTAGCCTATATTATAGCTAGAGCTCCCGATTTAGGTGGGTTTTTCAGATTTTTTTAGCAATCTCCTACGCTCTGGATTTTTAGACTAGCTTAGGCAGGCCTACTTCAGCTACTCCAGTTTGCCTGTGTGGAGGCTTGACCAAGGTTTTTTAAGTGACATTATTGTTAAAAAATGTTGCAGAAAATGTAGGCCTAACATTGATATGTTTTATATAAAGATTGTAATAGTTAATTATCAACTAATGGGACATATTTGTATGCTGCAATGTTGTGATTTTTATTCCACCTTAAGGTAGGCCTAGGCATAGGCTCATCTAAGAAAATAGATCACCACTGGTACCACTACACTGGCTGTGATGTACTGGCCTAGCCAAGACAGCTTATTAATATGAAATTAGTCATTTTCTTTTCCGTTTGTATTCTTGGTTTATTATCTCCTTGTGATCGTCGGAATTAAAGTTCAGTTGCATAAATGTTCTACAACATTCAAGTCTAAGTTTATTCTTTACTGAGTCGACCCACGACAGTCGACCCACGACACTAACACCTCCTGTTGGCAACCGTTAGCCATGCATGAAATAAAGTAAATGTTAATTTACCAAGTGTCTTCAACTCTACCATATTAGATGACCACAGTTTCTATGGCTTCAATGAAGACAAACTGCTACCAAATACAATCATGGCATCATCAACTCCTAGTATAATTCCTCAGCCTGGAAATCAAAATGTGTTGGCGACCATTAGCGATGCATGAAATAAAGTAAATGTTAATTTACCAAGTGTCTTCAACTCTACCATATTAGATGACCACAGTTTCTATGGCTTCAATGAAGACAAACTGCTACCAAATACAATTATGGCATCATCAACTCCTAGTATAATTCCTCAGCCTGGAAATCCCAGAATGGCAGATGACTCTAATATCCAAACCCCATCTGATATCTCTACTACTAGCAACGACGAACTCAATAAACTCAAATCAAGAATTAGTAGCCTTAAACTAACTGTAGGGTTCTTATCTTGTTAATGAAACTGGACAGTGTAAACACATCTGTTAAAACACAAGAACCAGCTGATTACAAAGTTGAAAAAGAAATGACTATTGTTGAGCAAAAACTTCCTGATGAAATAACTATCGTTGAATCTACTGATATAGATGAATGTATTGTGCATCACCCTTCAATATCCACTAAAAACCAATTTAAAGTCCTTGAAGACAACAATGTTGCACCGCACGTTTCAAACTTAACTGAAGTTTCAGAGAATGAAAGCATAAGTGTTAGTAGAAACCATAATAATAACTTGCTTATCGGTGATTCTATGATAAAACATGTCTCAAGTCCTTGAATCTGTCAAATCCACTGACTTACCAAATGTAAGCAATGTTATAGTACACATCGGAACAAATGACTGCAGCAGAGAAGATTTTGATACTGATAATTTGAGAAATGATTTCAACAATCTGACATCCTATCTAAATTCAAAGATATCTGGCGAAGTATATGTTTCAAGCATTTGCCCTCGCCTTGATGACTCGCTCATAAGCCAAAGAGTCCAATTGATCAATAATATGTTGAAATTAATGTATGGGAAAAATTTCATTAACAACTGTGCCAAATTCTCAAACAGCTATTGTGTGGACCCATCAAACTTTATAACACATAGACTTCATCTAAACAAAAAATCAAGCAAAACCAGATTCATCCAGCTACTGCTACTTCTGCGGTAAAAGTGGACACACAAAATCGGTTTGTCGACATGGAAAACCTGTAACTTGCTGATGGTGCAATCAAGAGGGACACAAATCAAAACTATGTGGTTACTACAACTTTTGCTGAAAACCAGGTGAAGATGAGAATGCCGACAAAGAACCAGCAACGTTATTTAAGAACATCTCTGGGTCTGTTAATAAATCCACCAGAAAATTATCTGATCAAAGTATATTAAGAAATAAGAACATTGAAACTGGTGACCATATAAATGAATTCTCCAACAAAGGGCTTAACATTTTAGGTCTAAAAATTGTTTCTTTAACAGCTAAATTTGATGAAGTTAAACACTACTTAATAACCAAATTGATGTCATGACCCTGAATGAAACCAGGTTAGATTGGTTTATTAAGGATGATGGTTTAACTATAGACAACTATGACATATTTAGAAATGACCAAAATCGTAATGGAGGTGGGGTTGCACATTTTTGACAAATTTGAAAAATTCCATGAGAACATTGAATGCTCAACAAAGAAATTATAATAATAGGAGACACAAACTGCGATCAACTAAATTCTAATCCTAGTGTGTACTGAAGTAGGCTAATTAAGAATCTTATTGTAAACCCTAACCTCGTTTTTTTAGTATTAATCCTCTTTATGTTTTAAGTATTCAGTAGTTTTTTTAGTCAATTTTTGTTAGTTAAAAGGACAAATGCTACCTTACTTCATTGTAGCTTTGTCATAATTTTGATTTAAATCAAGTCTGTTGTAAGTTTGTTAGACTTTTTATTTTTTATTTTTTTGTACTTGATAGTTTATGGTGCTGTTATTATACAATTGACTTTGTCAATGTGCATTTTTGATTTTAATCTAGTTTAATAAGTTTTATACAATTGTACCTCACAGCCTTTTGTAAGAACACCCAGTGGGTGAAAGTGTCTCATGAATAAATAAAGATTATTATTATTATTATTATAAAGTCACCACAGGAGCTCCCCCCTAGATAGATGGAGCAATCTAATGAGTTATAAAATCTTTATTTTCTTTTTTAAAAAAAACAAAAAACAATACTACTACTTCTGCCCAATTAGTTTCTTAGGTGCAATCATAATCAACAAACTTTTTTGGCCAATGAACACGTCACGTTCGAGTTTGTCGCAACTGCGGTGTTACTGGCAACTTCGTTTTTGGAAAGTTTGGTGGTTTGTTATTACTGTCCAACTTGGTCGACGTTTGTTTAACACCGACTTCGGGTACAATACAACTATCAATGTCTTTGTCGAGGTAAGCAAATTTAATTCGATCAAGACTAACTTTGTCCTCTTTTCCAGCAACGAAAGAACATAATACTTGTTAGTTCTGCGTAATACCTTGAAAGGCCCCGTATAAGGGGACTCGTTTTGAGCCTTTAAGATAAGAAGTTGTACGAACACGCTTAGTGCCTAGCAACTTAACTAAGGAATCAAACAATGCAGACTCAAACCGGCGACCACGATCAGGAGTAATCGTTGAAGGTGCCCCGAACATTGATATCCAACTTCATACAAAAGCCTTGGCAACCGTTACTGCCGTGATGTAGGAATTGGAATGGCTTCTGGCCATCTGGTAAAGCGATCAATGCAAGTATTAGTAGATAAGTATTACCATCTGCTGGTGGAAGTGGCCCAACTAAGTCAATGTGTACATGATTGAACCTGATATCTGGAGTTGTAAAAGTACCCAGCGGTGTTACTGTGTGACGATAAACTTTGGTCTTCTGACATCTCACACAACATTTGGCCCACACACGAACATCGCTATTCATTCCAGGCCACACACAACGAGCACTAATTAATACGAATACCTGGATGATGAATATGTCGAAAATGTCTAATTGCCAGATACGTAGCTAATAATTCACGACCAAAGGTACTGTACCTGGATTCAGAATGATTCATTCGTCTAGAAAAGAATGCAATTAGACACCACATATCCGCAACCTTCTGTTGAAGCACTCCACCAACACCATAATTTGAAGCATCAACCATGAGACACAAAGCAGCATGAGGATGAGGATGTTCAAGAAAGTCGCTTCAGCTAATGCAACTTTGATTGCATTGAATGCCTCAACTGCTTCAGAATCCAATTCAATTGACTTCTTTGGCTTACCTGTGAGAAGATCAGTTAAGGAATGAATCAAACAGCATTCTCAAAAACTCGAACATGCCAAAAGGTGTAGTGATAGCTGTTTTCGGAATGTCTCCAGGATCAACAGGTATCTGATGATAGGCTCTAATTTTGAAAATATCTATCTTTGAAAATACCTTTTTCCCATGAAGTGTAGCGGTCATGAAACTATTGAATATCCTGACCCAGTAAATGCAGATGGAACAGTACCAACTGTGCGTAGACGTCCCCTACCAGATATAGAGAAACCAAAACAAAATATCACAGAATGTAAGTTAGGATAGTCATGAGTACAATACAATACAATACAAATCTTTCTTTATTCTGAATGGCTCTTTCAATACAATAAAGTACTGGTCTCCCAAGAGGTCCAGATTTATAGGAACATTACAAGAAAATAAAAGAAAGGTAAAAATTAGTAAGTAAAACTATGTACAATAGAAATTATAAAAGATTTTTAAATTCAATTAGACTAAGCAACTTAAAATTTGTGCGAATATGTACAGGAAGATTATTCCACAAGATTGATGTTCTGTACTTAAAATTTCTCTTTCCATGAATATTGTTCCATGCTGGAATATTTAGAGTATTGGTTGATTGGCTTCTTGTATTTTTTGTGTGAAAAGTGTCCATAAATTTGAAAAGATTTTTCATATGATTGAAAAACGGTAACTGTAGACCTACAGGATTTGGTATACAGGAGTTTGTGCTGAAGTTTGTTACCACTTGTATTGTAAACTTGAATATTATTAAGAAAAGTAAATGAAGAGAATGTTGGCAGCATGTGCAATATAAAAAAAAAAACAATTGTAAAAATAAAGAATAACAATTTTAATAGATGCATAACATTTAGAACATTATTACAACTATTACTAAATTAATTATATAGCAATATATTTGAAATATAAAATTATATTACTTGTTTATCAATCTTTAGTTTTTATTTATATTGCTGTATGTATTATTAAAAGGTTGCTGATACATTAAAGGTTAATAAATCCTTTTATCCTCTGTTTGAAAAACCTTTTCACAAGATATGAAATACTTTGTATGCTATGGCCTTTCCAAATACAAAAAGGTCTATATAAGATGTGTATACTGTATGTTTAATTCCTTATGTACATTCTGGGCCGCCAGTTACGAGCGTGAAGCGCGAGAAAGATTGTATGAAGGCGCAAACAATTTTTTGATGGGGCCCTGTCAATCTGGAGGAGCCCATTATTAGGGGACCCATGACATTATTGAGGGCCCATGATAGTAATTATTTTTTTAAAATATATGGGGAAAAAATGCTACCTGCAATTTTTATGGGCCCTGGTAAACTAGGGCCCTGGGGATCTTTTCCTCCTCTCTTGGTGACCCTGTGTAGATTCAAGCTATTTGTGTTGAATTTAAATAAAAGATGTATGTTAGAATATACAAAGCCATGTTGATTGGTGGATGGATGGATGGATTGGGTTAGTTAGTCCCTTTATATTTTAGTCTCAGATCAATGTACAGTCAATATGACTCGATAGCAGTATTTACAGTAGATAACTTTAGAAAAGAAATAATACTGTACACTACATGAAATGCACTGGTTTAATGCCTTTTTGTTTTGATTGTAATTCTGCTACATAACGTTTTTCAACCACCGCGTGCTGAATGGTACAACAATGTTACAATTTTAATGCTGCATACGCAGTTTACAAAAAAAAAAAAAAAAACAGATTTATATAATTAATATGACTGGTTCTTCTGATTGTGTACATTTCTAAAATGTCCAGTGAGAAACATTGAATCTTATATAGTGATTATTTTAATTTTCATATGGCCTGGATGGTATAAGAATTAGTCAAAATATCATTGACAGATTTAGATAGCCTCCTGACTAGGCCGGTTACGGTATCACTACCTGCTGTAGGCCTCCCTAGGATACGCCTCCCTAGGCCTATTTGTACTCGAACCTGGGAGGGAGAAGCCAGATTGTGGACTTCAAGAACGGGAAGGCGTGAAATCCATGTTGAACCAGGTATTGCCTAAAATAATTAATATAAATGTAGTTTCCTAATTTTTAAGTCGAAACCTTCCTGTGACCTTACCCCGATTTGCAAGATCAAGAAGAATCAATGAGATTTTATGCTGAAATCTCGATATGAAACCATGGAGATGAATAAGACTTCCGCATCAATCGCCAGTAATTTCCATCAACTTTTAATAATAATAATAATAATATTTATTCAGCAGAGTAAAAAGTATACTTACAATATTCTTGCCAGGAGTAAGTAATAGGCATAAGCCCGAACTGTAAGCTGCTCTTACTCCATCATCAAAAACAAATACAATGACAATACAATTTAAATATATACAAAAAAGTAAATTCAAAATAAATTGATTTAACTAAAACAAAATGAAAAACAGAGATAATTAATAGTTATTATTAGTATTAATATTTTGAGATCAAGTGTTTTGTGAGCTGGGCTTTACAGTCCGAAATGGACGTGCATTGTTTAATTTCATTAGGAAGTTGTTCCCATAATCTAGGAAAAATAATAAAAGATGAATTTAAAAATGTATTAGTCTTGGCTTTCCAATGTATTAATCGCCCTTCACACCTTTCACTTGATCTCACAAGATTATTAAACGACAATGGACATTGTTCATGCATTATTTTAAAACCTAACGTTAGTCGATATACTTTAAAAATATCCTCAATGCTTAAAATATTCAAAATCCTTAATCTATATAAATATGACGTGTCCCAATTTCCTTCCTTTCTGTACATAATTATTCTAGTTGCCTTTTTTTGTACCTTTTCTAGTCTATAAATATTTGAAATTTCAGTAGGTGCCCACATGCAGCAACAGTACGTCATAACCGGTAATATTAAAGTTTTATCAAGATTGAGCATAGCCATCCAAGACATTGCCTTACTACATCTTGAAACAAAACCAAGAAGTCTGCTTGCCTTATTACTAACATAATTCAAATTAGAATGACATGATAACTTATTGTTAATATAAACACCAAGTAGTTTAAATTCATGGACTCTTTCAGTTGTTCCAAAATTTATACTATAGTCCCATATAAGAGGCTCTTTACACCTAGATAAACTCATAGTTGCACATTTAGATGCATTTAGCGGCAGTTTGTTAACAATAGACCATTCAACAATCCTATTTAAATCACTCCGAAGCCTAATACAGTCGTCTATTCCATAATTTAATTATATGAATGTATACTTGCAAATAGTAATTTAGACCTCTTTTTAAGACACTTTCTGATACATTTTTATGATTCGGCAGAAACTTAAAACAGATATTGTCCGGAATACCTAACAACCACTCTTTGCCCGCGACCGCACAACCAGCCATGTTTTCTTCTACAAAATGATGTTGTTTGTGGGACCTTAGCAACAATATCCAAGGGGCGGGGCTTAGCGGAAAGGTCTAATGGATACACATCGGGAATAGTAACATTATTTAAAGTGTGGTAGTCCCCACAGGGCCTCCAATCCCCGGACGTACCTTTAGGAACCATGTGCAATGGTAATGACCAGCAGCTATCTGATGGACGAATTAATCCCAATTGTGACATATGATCAAACTCAGCTTTAGCAATCCTTAACTTTTCAGGATAAAGTCGCCGAGGCCTGGCTGAAACTGGTGGACCCCTGGTATTAATTTGGTGCGTCACACTATGTTTAACAATAACGTCCTTAAAACACGTTGATCAATAATCGACTGGTAACAACATATTTATAAGTGAATAAATGCTGTACATAAAACTTGATAAATTTGCCTCAGGCGCCTATAGATTTTGTGCTCAAGATGCTTATATTGGCTATATCAGCATACAATATAGTAAGATTGGATCTTTTGAAGGTCTTTATGTACATTTTCTTATTGTTTTTGAATGTGCATATTATTTTATATTATTTGTGTGTGACTTACATGAAGTTGTCTTCCATTTCTTTATTCAATTGCTGCCACGTAGCTTGCTATACAAATAGAAAGAATCAATGAGTTATATCAATTGTAATAATCAATTAAATTGTAAGAAACTCAATGATTATCTGTGATGTTATCGTAAGAGTTTTTTTTTTTGCAAACCTGGGCATCATTGATCATGAAATCAACAATTGACAATGTCTATTCTTTCTGGGTTACTGATGCAGCACAAAAAGATAATAATATGATGGAAATTTTGTATTTCCACTTGACGAACTTAGTCGACTTATCAATATGAACAACCAATCAGTCAATACCTTTTATTAATTTTTAATATATTAGTGTATAATTACCGTTTTCTTTTGTGAAGATGCTCCTGGATTGTTGCAGTATATTGCTAATGCGAAACTGACGCTAAGGTGTCGCCTATACGTCATATGTAACCCGTATGTTTTAGCGATGCACATTCATAAAATTGATTAAACACGGTGAATTCCAGTTTCGTAGAGCAAGGCTTGAAGATTGAAATATAATATTTTGTGTGCAGTTTATAAGGTTTTTGGTAAACTAAAAACTATTTTTCTTGCACATTGGCCAGAATCACATGATCTTCATACAAGTTCAAGAGGTCAAGTATATTTACATTTTTTTTTTGGGATAACCCAAACATTCACCAAAATCAATGAAACCAGTTGAGTCATCAATATGCACAATCAATTAGTTAATATTTTGTTATTTTAGAATATATTATTTCTTCCTTTCTTAAGATGCTATAAATATCTTCGACCAATCTTCAAAATTCCCGTCAGTATAGTGGTATTGCGCAGGCGTGTGACTGATGGAGGCATTACGTCATTTTTAATAATGGTATAATCTTGCTGTATGGTGAATCCCAATTTTGTAATTTGGGCCTGAAAAATAGAACAGTAAAACCAAAAACAATTTTTCATGCACTGTGTTCAGGAACACATGACCTTCAAACTGAGTCAAGAGGTCAATGTTTTCAGATAATCTAAATAAATTCTACCAACAATAATACAGTAGAACTCCTAGCAGAAATCCTTGGGACCAAAAAAAGTATCACCTTAATAGGGGCGTCCCCTGTAAAATAGGTACTCCTATTCAGGGGACACTAACTAAAAATATGAAATTGTCCACTTAATAGGAGTTTTTGGCATGTTTTCATACAATGATGACATAGATTCTTTATAATTTCATTTTAATTGACCTAAGTAAGTTACAGTTGAATTATAACTAATTTATAACAGTAATTTGCAATGCACAAACAATTCATTTATAATAAAGTCAACAGAAATGTAATTAAATCAACAAAAGTTGTATACTGTAAGTTAAAAATATTTGTTTGTGATTTTAATAGAAATGTAGTGACCAAATATTTTTTTTAAATATAGAACTTTCTACTGAACGTACAAGATGGAATAGCAGGAAAACAGAGTAACAACTTAAAAATAAGGGTGCAGGCTGTATGGTATAGATTAAAAATCCTAAGGGTGCAGCCTAAATTTTACCCTGGCTGCGCCCCTGAATGCCCATCAATATGGTCAAAATTGACAAAATTGTGTATTTTTCTATGAATGTTCATTCTAGATATTCAGAGGATACAATATTCTGTTTTTGATGTTAAGTTTATTGCTCAAACAAAGGTGTCAAAATATAAATCTATTATAGTCGTTTTGATACAATAAAAAAAATGAGTGTATTTTGAGTTTTTACAAAGCCTCTAAAAATTCTGAATAGCCTTTGTGATCTTAGTAAATTAGCAGTTGCATCTTAGTGTTAACCAATAATAAAAGTTCAAATATTTTTACAGTTTACAGTTGCATAACTACTAGCCATTACTTACTTATGTGGTGGCTTGTTGAACTAGGACTTTGTCTACCACAGATCTTCATCATTGTCTGTCCTGTGCAGCTATTGTTACATTGACATGTCTAGGTTGTTCCACTGGCAGACTTCCCTCATCCATGTCCGCCTAGGTCTTCCTCGTGGTCTCCTCCCTCTGACTTTTTCTTCCAAGATATTTCTTTTAATATTATTGGCTCTGATTATGTGCCCAAGGTACTGACATTTCCGTTTCTTAATATTTCCAAGGAGTGTGCACTTCTCATCTACAAGTTGTAGTACTTCATTGTTAGTTTTGTGCTGTCAGTACGAAATACGGGTCATTTTTCTGTAAGCCCACATTTCGAAGGCTTCAATTTTATGTTCCAGCTTTTTATACAGTGTCCATGTTTCCATAAAGGTGGATAGAACATAGCATAGCATTAAATGTTTGCATGTTTTGGAGAGTCTTCTGCTGGCCAGCGCATCAATCATTTTCAGAAATGTATTTCTTGCTATTGCGATTCTTGTCTTCACTTCTACTTCACATCTCCCATCTTCAGATATCATCTGACCAAGATACTGAAACTTAAGTACTTGTTCCAGAATCACTCTGTCTACTTTGATAACTTTTTTGTTGTAGTTATCTGTCTGACACTTGCCATTGTAGGTTGCATAATGTTTTTTTATGCGTAATTTAGTTTATTGGGTAATCCATTGTATCCTATATGATTTCTCTTACAAATTACAATATTAAATTCAATACCGTACAGTTTCACCACCAATAATTTTAAATTAGACATTAGACTACTTTAAAATATCATTTACATAACTTGTGTCAAAGTTCACTTTGAGCCTACCTCATTCTAAAAACTTAAGAATCCTGTGCTTTAAAAAGCCTCTGAGTCAGCTGAGCATTACATTTTTTATGCGTTAACTGACTGGCACTTTGCTCCATTTTGTTGTGTTTTATATGTTCTTGAATTAAAATATAGATAAATTGATAATCATATTTCAAAATTTGTTTAAATTTGTCTTAATCTACTTCCCAAAAGGAAAGCCTTTGTATGCTAATAAAACAAATCCCCCTGGCTTTGTATTGATTAGCTGGTTACCATATCAACTTGTACACTAATCAATTTGTGTGTATATTAATCAATTTCTTCTTGTATTATTTCTTTTCAAAAGAAGTACAGCTATATTGTTTATGAAATGCACAAAGGCAGTAAAATATTCAACATTCTGTTCTAATGCTGACTTGTATCAAAACCAACTTGGTGTACTATATTACTATATATATTACAAGTTGTTCCCTTTATGATTTTTTTGTGTTTATTATTATTGTAATAAAATAATATGCGCTAAGTCGGACTCAAGGTGGATATCTTTTGTGTTATTTTTGTCCTTAACTTTGTTTTTTAAATTTTTCTCTAATTTATTCATTGTCCAAGTTCTTCGTAAGGTAGGTTTTAGTAACATAATAATAATAATAATAATAATTATTATTATTATTATTATTATTATTATTATTATTATTATTATTATTTATTATTATTATTATTTATTATTATTATTGTTATTGTTATTAATAATAATAATACAGTAATAATAATATGCGCTAAGTCGGATTTAAGGGGAATATCTTTTGTGTTATTTTTGCCTTAACATCCTTTTTTAATTGTTTTCTAATTTCTCCATTGTCTAATTTCCCCTTAAGGTAGGTTTTAGTAACATAATAATAATAATAATAATAATAATAATAATAATAATTTTAATAATAATAATAGTAATAATTATAATAATAATAATAATAATAATAATAATATTAATAATAATAATAATAATGATGGATTAAAAGTATGGATTTATAGAGTGCATAAGGCATAAAGCTTCTATGTGCTATACCTATGGTTTGTTAAATGCTATTTAATATGATTATATGTGCCTGTAGTGTGAATCCCTTCACCACCAAGTACATGGTTGGTCTTTGTAATATATAGGGCTAAATTAATAGATCTAAATGCATAATTGTGAAAACAAAATGCTGTTTGAATAGGTTGATTTTGGTTAAAATACAAATTTGGTTAACATAAGAAATAGGTTGCAATATTACAATTTGAATGGACTTGTATAAAATGCTATGGCTGTTATGTTAATTATTATTCAAAATAACATATTTTTCAAAATTGTACACCATGTTACTTTATCAAATAAACACATTATTTCTGTATAATTGTGAGTTAATCTGGATCAGTATTAGTGATGATCAAGCATTCGAGATGTAAATGTTTATTTTTAATTATTTAAAAGCAATTAAATAATGGTTACAGAAAATTTGGCTCAGTGATAAATACAACATGAATTTATAATTACAAAGATATTTGTTACTAAGAAACATAAAACATTTCTGGGGGCCTGAGAACAGCCTCCCCCCCCCCCCCCACCTCTCCACACCTGAACAACCTGCTTACACTACCTAACCACCCTTCCCACCTTATTCTTTATTCCTACATCCACCACTATAGCCAGGTCCATGTAACCAGGCCATGAGGCAATTCCCTGCCTTTCCCTACTCTCTATCCAGCTTAAAACCCTACTCAGCTTATGGAATAGCCTCTTCTGTTTTTAAAGGGCTGTTTTCAATTCAGCTTACTTGTAATTGGGAGATAATTAAGATGTTTACACCTTACCATAGTAAGCTAAATCCCTGATATTAAAAATATTTTGTTGTCTTACAGTCTTCTTTTATTTCTCCAAAACTAATTTTTTGAATTACTGCAAGCATCACCTGCTAAACTTGTGTATATTTCATTAGATTCAGTATGAATGGGTTCGTGATCTTCTTCCACGACTACATGAACTGGATGCTTATTCTCTGAGTGGCTGCTTAGCACCAACATTTGATGATGGAAAAAAAGAGGATTTGTGTGAAGTAAAATTAGAAACATCCATACCAGAAATAAGTAAGTTCATCAATTAATGTACATTATTTTAAGAGTGCTTAAGTTATATTATATTATAGCAATGAGACAACATCTGTTGTGTTGGGATATGCAGATAATGTGTGAACAATTCTGGATCATTAAAAAGCTTAAACAAAAGAGAAACTATTTACATAATCTTTAAACCACATAAATTGCTTTGTTGAAAGGGTAAAAAAATGTATTGTTAATATTTACAAGGTATTACAATGTCTATTTATATGATATTCATAATACAGTAGAACCCCCCTGTTGTGTTTGGTGGCCGTTGCCAAAATGGATGATTCCTAGGATATTCACACAGAATAATTATCACGAAGTACTAAACGTGTTCAGCCATTTTAGGAATATTTATTAGCCTCCAATCCAGTCGTTTTACACTTACAATTAATATGAATATATTACATTACTTCCCTTTTATAAAATTTAATAGGATGTGAGATATTGTAATTACATTGTGGCTCTTTATAACTATTGAAAACAACACTACAAATAATAATTTTCTAACCTAGCTAACTCTGCATCTACTAATACTTTTCATTGTATATGGCACAAATCTAGCTTTGCAATATATATGGGTTGTACATTTTGACTCATATTAATGTGAACTTTATCTCCTGCAATACCTTTATTATCGGCCTCAAACAACTGTGCATGCTCTTTTAGCAATGCTAGTAACTGGGGAGGATTACCCTTATTTGTGCCTTTGTCATTTTGCAAACTATTTACTCTTCTGACATCTAAATCTTCAGTTATCTTTTTCCAGTCTGTGGATTGAATGATATGTGACTTGATTTCGTCATTAACATTGTGAAACTGGCATTTATCTGCCTGTTCTCTAAGCCTGACATGATAACTGTCAATGCCCTCCAGTCATTTTACACTTTCAGTTAATATGAATATATTACACCCTCCTTTGGGATACTCCTATTAAGGGGATAATTTTCGGCCGAAAAAGGAAGGTACGGTATATTATTGAGACAATTTGTTTTTGTTCTGAATGTTTCCGCTTAATAGGGGTTTAACTATTAGTACACGTGTGATTTGTTTTCATTTACGGTAAAAAAAAAAATTAAAGGCAAGACGTGATGGCTACAGTATTCCTAATAATCTCATTCTCCCTCTTGTAAGAACGTTAAGCATCTCTATATTTCTATTAATGCTATATTTAGAAATATTGTAATATGGCTAGGACCAAAGTAGTGCTATAGAACTTAAGCCTACTACAGTAATTCTAGACTAACTACTGTGGAACACAATAGGTCAGATAGTCTGCATAATATTGCGCCTCTATTAATTTCCTTATCAACCAGAATGAACCATTATTGATCATGCTTAATAGCACTACAAGTACTTTATATGAGTATTTTATGGAGTACATTAAATCTTTAATTGTTGTTGCCTAGGTTACCAAATGTAATGAAATGCATTATTTATCCTATAAAGTTAATTTATTTAGACAGTGGCCTTGTTTCATTATTAGTGAAAAGAAATAAAGGGTCATTACAGCTCAAATCAACCAGAATGAAAAGGGGAGCCTGATACCTACTGTACAATTCAAAAAGTCCTAACTTAAAAACCGCTTGGAAATTGGAGCTGAAATTTTGGATTCTTTGTTCTGACATATCAAAGTATTCTTAGAATATTTTTAAGGGAAAATCCAAGGGGAGGGGGGTGAGGGTCACAGGAGAACTTTTAAATTTCTGGCTGATTTGAGCCACAATGACCCTAAAAGAATTTTAAGAATGAATCAAATAACTGTTGTTTTGAAATTGGAAGTCTTTTCATGTTTACATTCCTTTGTGTATGGTCACAGGGGAACTTTTAAATTTCTGGCTGATTTGAGCCACAATGACCCTAAAAGAATTTTAAGAATGAATCCAATAACTGTTGTTTTGAAATTGGAAGTATTTTCACATTTACATTCCTTTGTGTATAGATAACTTGGTCTTTGATATTTTGATATCAAAGATGCAATTCAGCATAATGATGCTGCAAGTTATGGGTTTATTCTCCTACCTTTACCTTTATTAAATTAATTGTTTTGTTCAACCTGCAAAATTTCCTTGTATTATTGTTATTTGTATCATGTACTAAAATGGAGTGTAGTGAATTTCAATAGCTTAATATGTAAGGTGCTTGCCTTCTAATCCCAGAGTTTGGGTTCGATTGCTCTGACAACAGGACTTTTTCTCACAACTAAAAACAATTCCACTCCCTAAACCTGATAAGAGACTTTGCTTATAAAGCATCATCCATCTTGTAATTGGTGAGTTACTTGCAGTTGGATGCAAATAAATGGTCCTTTTTGTATTCTACATGAACAACATGAATATAAAAAGTATTAAAGAAAAGCAGTTATTTTGTTATGAATGGTACAATATAAAAGGTTTCAGCACAAGTAACAATAATATTTAACCTGTGTAGCACAATCAAAAACTGATACTGGTAAATTTCAGTCTGCTGCCCTCTATTGCTTTTGCAATCTGATAACAGAAAATATCAGTCTGTCGCCCTCTACCGTTGCTATTTATCAAACTTGTTATTGCAATCTGATAACAGAAAATATCAGTCTGTTGCCCTCTGCCTTTGCTATTTATCAAACTTTTTATAATAGTCCAGTAGAATAAGCCAATTCATAGTTTGAACCGTCTGCCTATCGACATTAACACCATATGCACACTCTGTTTTTCAACTTAAGATTTTGCCTTAATGTTTTTCTAATGCTGTAAAGGATACTGACCGCAAACATAGAGATTTTTTTACAAATGTTAGGCCTAGGCCCCTGCACATGCTACGGCATGGTTAGGTATGCATGTTCTTCGAAATGTGAACTGTGCTGCGATGTTAGGTTAAGGTTTATGAAGGATCACTTAATTTTCAAAGCATACAATCCAAGGAGAACGCTAGGATAAGTAAATAAACACTATTTTGAACAATCATATTGCCTTTCCAAGCCATTTACTCGGCCATTCCATGGCAAAACAATGTAACTTGAAATTTTCACTTTTGAAGAAAAATAAAGTTAAAGTTAACATGTTTGCAACTTGGTAATAAATTGTCATAGCCTTTTGAAATTTTACAGGATTGTATCTATATATATATTGTGATTATATGTAAAATTTTAATTACAACCATTTGTTTATTGCAAAGTTATTGCCTCGGAAACATGTCAAACTCGGTGTTGTTGCAAATAGGATATATTTTTTTGAAATTTATCACGTGTTGAGACCTGAAATTTTCACAGGTAATTCAGACATGTTTAATATACACCCAAATGATATTATCTCAAAATCAACAAAAATATCAGTTACGTCGTTTTGCCTCAGGACGGCTGTACTTTTCACGTTAACATTGGGTGGTTGTTTTTGCAACCATAACACTATCTTTTCCAATGCTATCGCACTGTAATGTTTTTCATGCATACCCAAGTTAGGTCAGGTGACCACCTGTAAACAATCATCGCTAAATCCCTCTATTGAGAACTTTGAAATCTGATAACAGAAAATATCAGTGTGCCGCCCTCTATTTTTTGATATTTATCAATCTTTACAAGTTATAATAGTATAATAAAATTTAGAGTAAATTCCACCAAAATTAAGATATTTTAGGAATTGTTAACTTGTTTATTAAGGGCTTGTATATTAAGAGCTGATATTGGTAATTATCAGTATGCCACCCTCTATTTTTTTGCTATTTTTCAAACTTTGTTTACAAGTTAAAATATTTTAGAATAAATTTCTCCAAGAGTAAAATGATTAGGAAAGTTTTATCAAACTTCATGTACACGGTATAATAGTCCAATAGAATTGAGAGTAAACTCCTCCTAAACCAAAATTAGTGAGAAATTAACTTGTTTATTAATAAAATAATATTAAGGAGCTAATGCTGGTGATTATTATGAGTACTTTGCAATCTGATAACAGGAAATATCAATCTGCTGCCCTCTATTATTTGCTATTTATCAAAGTTTATTTACAAATTATAATACTGTAGTCCTATTAAATTTAGAGTAAAGTAAGATGGTTTAGGAATTGTTTACTTGTTTAATAGTAAAATAATATTAAGAGCTGATATTGTAATGTTATTACCAGGTTGCCACCCTCTTTTTTTTGCTATTAATTAAACTTTATTTTGTAATTATCAGTCTATTCCCCCCATTTTTATTGCAATTAAGAACTTTGCAACCTGATAACAAAAAATACCAGTCTGTCTCCCTCTATTTTGTTTATGCTATTATTATTATTCAAACTTTGTTATCAATAATAGAGTAGTCTATTTTTTTTTTAAATTATTATTTTGCTATTATTAACCAAATTTTGTTAAATTTTTATAAATTGAGATTGAGTTTACAAGTTCAATAGGGCTCCCACTATTTGGTTCACTCTTTGTAGTGTCCTGTCTCATATTTGTTTGTGCTTGTTCCTTGCTGTTTCTTTTTAATTTTCTTGTTTTTTAGAGAAATAAATCCCACAAAGATTTTTCATGTTTCTCAAGCAAATACTGTTAGGTGCGCCACTAGATACTCTGAATTTCACCATTCTAAAGTTTTGAGATTGACTTAGAATCATTGCCCATAAGAAAGTTGTCTTCACTTCTTTAGTAAAGTCTCTTGCATCATCAACAGAAAATTGACCAAAAAAATATTTTCACTTGATAACTTGTAAATGACCTACTCATTTTTTTTTATTGATTTTTTAGGATTTCTTCAAATTTGTTTTGCCAAGGATTGTTAAGGTTTTAATCATATTTTGTGTTTTAATTTGCTACAGATTCAGTTCCCAAGATGAGTAAACGCAACAATGAAGACTCCGTTTCGGAAGCCAGGCTGCGATACTTTGAAAGAAAGCGAGCTCGTGCAGAAAAGAAATAAAATTAAATCAGTACCAACCAACAGTGACAACCAAGAAACGAAAAATGTTCTGTGAGACTTGGAGTTGAAAGCATTTATTTTCATCAGAAAATAAAAAATAGTTTTTAAATGAAATATGTAATGTAATTTTTCTAATGTATTTATTTTTGTAAATAAACTTTACAGAAGTGCCAGAATATAAATGAAATGTTGTTATTTTATCATCATCATCTGCATTTCCCATCCACTTGTGCCCAGGATTGCTTCGAACAAAAGCAGGCTTTATTATTGTGAATAATAATAATAACAATAAGCTTACTGCCGTATATTTGAGGGCTTAGAGCCAGAAATGCCTATGTCCAAAAATCATATTTTGAGAAAAATAAGTTTCAATATTTCATTATATCTAAAATATCAAATATTAGATCCAAAACAACAATATTCCAGAATTATGTTAGACAATGGCTATGTTCTCACACGGCAGCTAATGGTTAGCAGGATCCGGATCCTGCTAACCGTTAGTTGCCGTGCATCCATATGAGAAAATCCCGATCCGGATACCAAGAATATGATGATCGAATCACTAGCCAATAAAAAACTGGAAATTGTAAATTCGATTGGTTGATGATAGAAACGTGTTCACTTGCTAACCGATAGCACTGGCTAACCATTAGCGGTATCCGGATACTGCTAACGATTAGCGCTAACCGGTCGGGCGTTCTCACACAGGCTCCAATAAGTGCCAATCTCGAACAAGCCCATCAGCGCTTTTTTCAGATACTTATAGTCTATAAATGTCGCTATGCTTAATGAGAATAAGATAATTGCAACAAGTGAGTTTAATAAGTAAGTCAGAGAGTAGCGATGTTGACACAAGTCTCTTGCTACCTGTTTGAACTCTTTAGGATAACCTTATTTAATGAACAAATGAATGATAAAAAATTCACTGGTGAGACTTGGCAGCAACAGGTCTAATGTGCCATTACTAAACCATTTTAATTCATAGTATAAATTCATAATGTTAACCTTAACTTCTCAACACTCATTCTCAACAGATATTTCTACATTTGCCATCATTTTGTATATTTAAATGTCCATGAAAGTCAACAAGATGTACAGTTTGGTACCGGTTCTGCAACCATTCCTGAAAGATTCTTTAGCAAGAACTCCACTTCTTTCAGCAACATTTATCTGACTTGTAAAAAAAGATGGACTTAAAATTATTACAGATATACCAAAACATAAACACAGAATATCTATACTTAACCCACACAATTTAAAAAATCAGTGTGTTCTTTCATTCACAAACTTATTCTTTACTCTATATAATATCAAATTATTTCCATTTGCAATAATTGTATTAACTTTATACTTACTGAAACATAGTCGGTTTTATGTTCAGTTTCACCCATCTCACAATGGTTTTATTCTGTAGTTAAACATATAACAAGATAATAATTAACAAAGCTCACATTGATAAATCTATGAAACATATGAATATATATTCGTAGGAAGGTCAACTCTCTGGCAGCACTTGCGTCTCCCCTGTCCGTTCACGTTTATGCATAGCATTACTACAGTAATATAGGTCTTAACTTTAACATGATAATTAACAGCTTAAGCCAAAGCTAATTAGGTCGTTGCAAACGCCAAAGCATATAACACTGAATCAAAGAATCATAATATAACAATAAAATGATCTCTAAATATCTCATTATGATGAATTTAACTTACTTCAATTTACGCATCGTGATCTGGTTACTAGGCGATCTACTACTTCGATCTACAGCCGCCCCCAAATTTACATGTAAGTTTGCATATTATAATTATGAAGTTAACACAGATTAACAATATTCAACAATAATCCTATAAACATAACATTATCAGTTCAATAGCCGCTAGAAGTAACATTAGCGGGCACGTTTTATTCAGTGATCACTGGTTCATCCTTCTCTTCCGGCAACTTGACAAGCTTTGCCACTGGTCGTCGGTACAGCGTGCCACGGACACAAACATCAACCAATCCTACTCTGCCATCCCGGCCAGGGAACACTTCAGTGACCAATCCAACGGGCCACTGTGCTCGAGGTAATAACTTATCTGCAATAAGCACAACATCACCAACTGTTAAGTTTTTTGATTCCTTATACCACTAGTCTGAAGGCCGGGTAGGTAGGCCTAATAAGTTATGAAGTGTTTCCAAAAATGATCAAACACCTGGCCATGGCACCATCTCTTACGTCCAAGCAATTCAGTCTCTGGATCGTATCTACCCATTAGTAGGATGTTCGGGTGATTGGATTCACATCTCTGACACATAACCTAATGGTTTGGAATTCTAGATCCCTTCCACCTCAATCAATACTGTCCGCAGTACTGCTTTGGTTACGCTCTGAGCTCCCAGAGCAACACGGAGAGCATGTTTGACACTCTTAATCTCTCTCTCCCATGTACCCCCAAAGTAGGGGGCTAATGACGGGTTGAACTTAAAGCACACTCTTTGGTCTGCAAGTTGTGTCTGTAATTCTGTACTCATAGTATGGAATGCCTGCTGGAGCTCCTTATCTCCTCCTTTGAAATTAGTGCCACAGTCGGAGAGGATTTCATGTGGTTTCCCCCTTTGGGCTACGAAACGTCGCAATGACATCAAGAAGGAATCTACGTCGATACTTTCTAGTAGATCCAAGTGCATTGAACGAGTTGTGATACATTTATATATGATGCCCCACCTCTTCTCACTCTTTCTTCCTATCTTTACTGTCATAGGACCAAAACCAGGGGCGGATCCAGCCTGCCAGAAAAGGGGGGGGCGCAGCCTGCGAGTGAAGCGAGCAGCCTTAGGCTGGGGGCCAGGGGGCCGCCTAGGGCGGCCCTGGCGAGGTCCCCTGGTGGGGGTGGAAGGGGGCGAAGCCCCCTTGAAGCCCAGCACATTTGAGGAATATGAGTTTGCATTAAGTCAATTTTGACTATCTAGCATGGTAATTTTCAGTAACAAATAAAAAAAAATAGGTGCATGTCTTTTAAAAGAAATTTTAATATTCAGGGTAGCCGCAATATGCAACTATAAAATGTGTCATTAAAATAATAATTCATCTACTCAAAGCTTTGAAAATTCAAGGTTTTCCCCTCTTGAAAACGGTCAGGTAAATTTTTCTCGTCTTTTTTTAAGTGTGTTTACATACATAAACAAATTGAGTAATTGCATACGATTTTTTTTCCATGAATCAATAAATTCCAAAAAAGAAAGGGGGGTCCGGGTTTTTCCCCGGGAAAATTTTGATTCTTAGAAGGCGGGAAATAAGCTTTCCCGACTTCTGAGGTGTCTTTTAATTACTTTTTATTTCTTCAAAATTCAATTTTTTCCCCTCTTGAAAATGATTTAATGAATCAATGAATTCCGAAGGAAAAGGGTGTCCGGGTTACCCCGGAAATATTTCGATTTCTAGAATGCGGGAAATGAGCTTTCCTGACTTCTGAAATGTCTTTTAAATGACTTTTTAAGTCCTTCAATTAAGGTTTTTCCCTCTTGAAAACGGTCAGGTAAATTTTTCTCATGTCTTATTTTATGCGTGTATACATACATAAATAAATGAGTAGTTGCACGCCTATTCTTTTTTCCATGAATCGATAAATCCTAAAAAAAGAAAGGGTGGTCCGGGGATTATCCCCTGGGAAAATTTTGATTCCTAGATGGCAGGAAATAAGCTTTCCCGACACTGGAAGTGTGTTTTAATGACGTTCTTCAAAATTCTAATTTTCTTATTGTAACATTGTAACATAAAGGAAAAAAAAAAAAAAAAAAATCAGCTCACAGGTCCTGAAAAGTTAGGTCTAGAATCTTTTTTAATTTTTTTTTTGTTGGCCAAGGGAGGGGTCAGGACGCACGACCCCCTCCCCCAGATCCGCCAATGTGAATCGCGAGAAAATTTAACTCGGTTGAGGACTGGATAAAAATTCTCTTTCCCATCCTTCGCCTCCTTCCCTCTTTCATTTCTTGCATTTCTTTCCAATCTAAACACTGTGGGTGAAAGTTTTTTTCCCAAAAAAATAGGGGGAGGGGCGTACGCCCCTTACATCTAATCCCCATTCTAATATTTAACAAAGGGCCCAGAAATCAATTAAGCCAATCAGCTGTTGAATGTATAGGTCTCAAGTCACTCACCCCAATGGCAATAAATCGTGCCTACCCTAGTATAGGCCTAGCCTAGTCTAGATGAGACCCTAGCGCCCCGCCTAGGGCCTAGGCTAGCCTACCTACAGTATTGAAGATCACCAGTGTTTAATTATGAATATAAAAGTTCTATTGAATTAAAGTACTGTATATTGAATTAAAATGTTCTACCAGATTGAACGATCAAACTATCATCTGTTGAGAGAGATAACGTTACATGCCATCCTGTAATGTTGGTGAATGTCTAGGGGATCATCTTAATAATTCAACACTCACCGCATGTGGGAGAGCTGAAAACAAGCTACAGGGTACTTTTGGGCTGTGATACCTTCTGTGCAGGGATCGTCTAAAAAATTCCGGTTTTTTTTTTTAACTTTATTTAAAGAAAATGTTTTTTCTTGCTAATTTTTCACTAGACAACCGGGCAACATGAGTCTAAATGGGCTAGCCCGGAGCGGGGGTTTTTTTTTTCTTTGCGATGTAAGGTGGTGGGGGGCCGTCCCTAAATCCGCCCCTGGACTTGATTAACTGGTTCGGTGGTGGACCCTACATTGTAGGCGAGGTCACTAAAACCAAAGATACTAAAACTACCTTTCCATACCCAATTGAGGGCGCTACACGAGTTGCTCTATTTTACACTTTCTATAGGCCTACTACAATTGCAAATAATTCTACTACTTAAATAGTTTCTAACTTAAATATGGGGAGTTATAATAACATTTCAGTTGCAGGGGACTATATGTTATTTGGACAAACATCATTCTTGAGACCAGAATTGGAAGAAGATATATAAATTTCATTAAAGGTCAGAATGTCATTTCTGGTCATTTTCCAAGGAAAGTTGTAAATAGAGCGAATATACATATATTCTGAACAGTTTGAGACCAAAATCAAGTCGCTATGGATAGAAACTATTTCATTAACAAAGGTCATCTCCGGTCACTTTCTCAGGAAAGTCTTCAATGGAGATACAGAAATTTCATTATAACTTCAAAGATCAGAAATGACATTTCCAGTCATTTTCCGGTACGCGATTTTTTTTCAGAGCGAATTGAGGCTACGTTTCAGACTTGGAGATAAAGCAAGCCTGAGGAATTTGCATAATGAGCCGTAACCATGAGGAACCGTGTTTCAAAACATTGCTCGCGAAACGTACGTACGCTCGCTCACAGCGTACGTAATTAAATGCTGATTGGTCATTTTGTTACCCGGAAATCAGTGCAAGACCCCACCAGATGTGTATAAGAGACAGCCTATAAACATAACATTATCAGTTCAATAGCCGCTTTAAGTAACCGGTGGCTCGCCAGGCCTTGTTACTATAGGAACACAGCCCGCTTGAGATAAGCCACCTAGTTCAGACTGGTAGGTGGATAAACCCGGTGAGAGCCGGGTTATCCACCTAGTCTGAACTAGCTAGGCCATAAACTTATATTGGATTTATTCGGTGTAAAGAAGAGCACCAAGAATAGCCCTTGAAAATCTAGAAGAAGACTTATTTCCAGTGGGGTCCTTCTGGTTGTGATTGGGCAGTACACCGGGAGAGACAATCCCCTACTCTTTTCCGAAGAGTGTACTGCGTTCTTTAACGTGCACGGGCCATAAGTGCACACATAACAGGCCCTCAGCACTCTAGCTGAAACACAGGGAGAGTGCTATTGTTACTTGTGTTTCAGCACTCTATCTCTCTTACAAACAATTTGACACCACAAACCAAGTTTTTGTGATAGGCGACGGTTGCTCTATTTCTGGTCTCAAATTGTTCAGAATAAGTTTATAATGACACTTTATTTCAATTTAGCAGCCATTTTAAAATTCAAGATGGCTGACATTCAAAACTTGCAACTTGTTTGTATTGTCTGGGACCTATCAAACACCTAAATAGGTGAGACCTTCATCAAACCCCGGCGGGACTTGTTTTGAACGTTTGTTTCAGTAATTTAATTATGACATACCGGTACTTCAGTTATGAAATAAATTTAATAAGCCTGCCTATGGTGTAGACCATCCCATGGCCATGAATTGATGGGAGACTATAGGCATTGTCTCTGAAGCAGGGATACGTCATTCCATAAGACTCAGGCCCGTAGGCAGGTGGGGGAGGGGGGTTGCAGAGGGTCCACTTTTTAAAACCTATGATTTCACAAAATCGTTCCTAATTATCACAAACATGCATTGCATTATATATTTGCCAGCTTATCTAACCGTTGATTTTTAATAATGTTTTATGAAATTTGTTAGTAATTGAGATCGTCTCCGGTGATTGCAGATTGATCTATATGAAGAGTGTTAACTATAGGCCTGTAGATGTATGGCCTACAGGACATAATAACGTTACTTTTTCAGGTCCCAAAAACACCAAAATTAATGAAAATTTTAATGAAATGAATTATGTGTTTAAGAAATCTATTATGTAAGACCCTTAAAATGCTACTTTGTCGCTTATCTCACAACCCCCCACCCCCCTCCTCAGGCCTCTTCCCCTGGACCAACAAATTTCAAAAAGTCCACTTTTTAAAACCTCTTATTTCACTAAAACCGTTCAAATTATCGCGAAATGACATACGGTAGTAGGACCTGCATTCCGTTTTTCCCCGCTCTTCTACCCGTTGATTTTTAATAATGTGCTACGAAATCTGTTGGAAATTATCAGCTCCAATCCAGTGATTGTGACGACGGGTTGGCGACGCTATCTCAAAATCGGGGGTGCGCTCTCCCCCCCCCCCCACCCCACGTTCTTTTGTCTTTGTTTCTTGTGGTTCAAAAGCGCCTTGAGACGGTTTTCTGTGGAAGGCTCATATAAGTATATGACCATTGACCATTGTAGGCCTATAGATGTAAAGGACATGAAAAAAGAAAAATCATAATTAAAGTTTGTCTGAGAGTGCCATTTCCGGCCACTTTGAAGTG